TACATTAAATTATACTCTGATTTACATTAAAATTTTCTAATAATTATAAAATAACTAGCTACTCGCCCCGGCTTCGCTCAGGTGTACATGTAATATACATATAAACCTTCCTCTTGAATCACTCTATCTATTACAAAAACCGCTTCGAAATCCGTTGCGTAGTTTTAAAGATTTAAGCATACATAGGGACGAACAGACAGTGACTTTGATTTTATAGTATGTAATTTTCAATGTTTCCAGGTAACCTTAGGGATATAAATATAAGGTAGGGATACAAAATAATTGTTTTATATCCGTTCTCATAAGGGTACCTTGGAAAAATAATTTTAGCAATAAGGCCGCTTTATTGCATTTATATAGATGACGCATTGATTAATATTTAAACGTAATTATTATCTTTTACTATTACTATAACTATATTTTATATATATATATATATATATATATATATATTTACTATTACTATAACGCAAATCGATTGTATTCATCATCTGCTTCTTCCTTATCCCATTTATTTGGGGTCGGCGTAATATGTTTTTCTCTTCCATTCATCTCTGTTCGCAGTCATTCCGTTATTTACTCCCTTTCTCACCATATCATCTTTCACACAGTCCATCCATCTCTTTTTCGGTCTTCCTCTACCCCTATAACCATCCACATTCATATGTAACACCGTCCTTAGGATATGATCTTCATTCCTACGTCATTCATTACATGCCCATACCACGATAGACGATTACTCTTTAACATCTCTGATTGTATTATCGCATGCATATTACACCGCACGAGGAGTCGCACGTCATTTTTATTCCTCTTTTTTTTTATAAATTCACATATGTACCTACTCCCAAATGGGTTAAAGCTGAAAATCTATTTTGTTCCTGAACAATCTTCTACACTGAACCTTTTTTGTAATGCTTCTGATCACACCGTCACACGTAATGACACAAACTTGTTAATATTATATTAAATGATGTGTAGTCCATATTTATATGTGTTAAGTTATTAAAAGACACGGTGATCTAGCAGTTTAGCTTACACCGCTTTACTTCCAATGGTCGCGGTTTCGATTCCTCGCACGCTGCAAGCATTCATTCATGAGTAGAGAAGCATTTATACATAAAAGTGTAATTAAGTAACGACGGCGACGTAGTGGTTTAGCTCATTGCTTTACTTCCGATGACTGCGGGTTCGATTCCTCGCACGCTGCAAGCATTCATTCATGAGTAGAGAAGCATTTATACATAAAAGTGTAATTAAGTAACGACGGCGACGTAGTGGTTTAGCTCATTGCTTTACTTCCGATGACTGCGGGTTCGATTCCTCGCACGCTGCAAGCATTCATTCATGAATGTTTGTTTAATAAGTCTGGATAATTTCTATGTATATTACGTATGTATTTAAGTTGTGTAGTAGGTACTTACCCATAATACAAGATCTGGTTAGCTTGGGACTAGATGGCGCTGTGTAAATCCAGAGTTATTATCAAATCTAATAATCAACTATATAATTTATCTATTTATTTATTTATTTATTTTATAACACAGGGGACAAACGAGCATGCGGCTCATCTGATGGCAGGTGATTGCAAGTATGTTGTCAACCTTTTAAAAAGGAATAAACTCTTTCCTTGAAGGTTTCAATATCGTATCGTATCGTTATTTGGTTTATCTACAAGTTAGATAACTAAGAATTCTCCATTACTTAATTTTAACTACTAATAACTAGTGATGACCGCGTGGAGGTCGACCTGATATGACACATAGCTAGCAACTGAAGATATTAATTATCTATGTCTCTGACAGCATACCAAGCCAAAATAAATGAAACCGCGGGCAAGCACTAGTGTTTTACGATCTTTGACCCTTTGTCGGTCTTCGTGTCCATACTGTGACACGACAAGATATGTGCGGCTTCGGGCATCGAACCCGCTACCTATCAGGTTACTGGCGACTGCCGGCCCCCGTGTACTCCACTGTCATTGATAGTGCTACGTAATTGAATAAAGATTAACAGAATTGACTATTGTTTTTATTGATCATAGACTAGATTGTTTAAAAATCGACTGTGTATTTCTGTCTCACCTATTTCACCCGTCAGCCATTTTGCCTTTTTTTTATTACGGTTGCGGCTAACAAGCATACGGCCCATCTGATGGTAAACGGGTACTGTAGTCTACGGACGCCTGAAAGTCCAGGGATGTCACGTGCGCGTTACCGACCCTTAAGAAACCTTAAAATACTTTTATTGAAAAACGCCAGTCTGCTGCTGTCTGTCTGTCTGCATGCTGTAGTCTTTCAAGAAAAGCTCGGTTTCATTCCACAATGTAAGTGTACGCGGGAGGAAGCTCCTCTAAAACCGCACTGTCCGAGACCGCTTAGGTTCCAGCGTGTGGAGATGAATTCCCTGTCGATGGCGAGCGTTGCAAGCCTTTGGAAGTTAAAAATGAGTTTCGGTTTTTTTTCCACAGACACAAAGACCGTGCTCTTATTATATTAATTTTTACATTTCTGTTTGACTTAAATTGATTTATTTAAGTAAATCTATTTTGGTCAGGTCCCATACAACAATTTTATGGATGTCAATATAATATAAAAATAAAATAATAATACAAATTTACCAAAATTAAGTACGAATATGTAATGAGTTTCGGTTGAAGGTAAGTGCAATTCGAGTAAGGCAGTGAATTCACAGTTAGTTTATAGGCTATAATAATCGTTTGTATAATACAAAAATAAATAAGGTTATATATTATATATGAAACGTATATTAAGTACCTAATAGTGCTTAGACAAAAAAATTAGATTCAAATTATTGAAGCCTACTTAAAGGAATCACACACGCATCATAACTTAATCTAATATATAAAATTCTCGTGTCACAATGTTAGTTACCATACTCCCTCGAAACGGCTTGACCGATTTTTATGAAATCTTATATGCTACTGTATTCAGTAGGTCTGAGAATCAGCTACAATCTATTTTTGATACCTACCCCTAAATGATAAGGGTTGTCTATCCATAACATTTATTTTTTATTTTTTGCAATTATTTTGTTTATTATAATATGGCATTTAAAAATACATACAACCCTAATTTTCAATCTTTTACCATCAACCCCTATTTTTTAATAGCGATTTTAATTTATATGGCAATATAACGTTTCCGGGGTTAGCTAGTTACTTATATTATTTTGTTTAATTCCGTTACCATTAGCACAGATAACATATCTAATATTCCATTAGCAAACGTGAGACCACAAATGTTCAGTGCGGAAATATGACTAAAGCTACTGCAAGCATTATATCTAATATACCCTATCAGTGATACCTACCCATATTGCGACACGTGTTTCGCTTCTACACGAAGTATCATCAGGCAAGGAATAGAGTTTAATATAACTTGGAAGTCTGTTCTATTGATTGTTCTTGAGTTATTGCCGACGGTTTTGATGGTCTAACAGTTTAGCACACCGCTTCACTTCCGATGGTTGAGGGTTGGATGGTGCAAACATTTGTATCCACGAATATGATTGTTTATATCGGTCTGGGTGTTTATAAAAAATATCTACTTATTTATATCAGTTGACAGTATCCGTACGTAGCTGACAGTAATTATTATAATTACGTCATACTAATTTAATGATTTTCGCCCTACCCTCCTCCTTGTCACAGTTGGTCATATTATTGAGACTTCTCCTAGTGTGACTTAAAATAATTTTTAGTCATTTGTTAATAGATTTTATAATAGGTTCGTTTTTTGTCACACTACGTCACACTTTTTCTACCGCCTACCTCTAAATAACGTGTGCCGAACTTTATTGATAGCAGTATAATATTAGTGTATAATAATTTAATAATAGTATAAATAAAACACGATACTTTTGTATTTTATATGCATATATTCGGTTTCATTAATTCAATAACTATTAGTTAATAATTAATACAACTTAACTTAAAAAAAAATACACTGACTTTTCATGGAATGCCGTACAATTAGATACTTAGATTTAACTTAGCTATGTCCAAGCTTAAAATTTACTATAAATTACAAATTTCATTATATTTAAATACTACTGAAATAAAAATATAAATTAACTAATAATCTCTTTAAGTTTCAATAGTTTTATGTTATTATACAATGTTATTTATATTGTTAACGCCGATTTACATTGTGTTAGTTACTGGCACGTAGTAACTGTTAACTTGATAATACTACTCGATAATGTAAAAGGATTTTTAATTAATAAGTACAACAGTCTTGTATGTTCTGTAGTATATTTTAAAGTCAATACGTTACTGACCCCAGTAACCAACTATATGTATAACAGCTTTGCCATTAGTCTTCATTCATTAAAGATAGAATCATTCATTAAAGAAGAATCGTTCATTAATGATTGAATCATTTATTCAATAATATTATTAAATTTAATAAATAAAGGGGGTTAATCCGTAGTACAACCGTTATCGGAATAAATGGCAATACGGCTCCAAATAATTGCGATTCAACCCCGTTAGTTAAATTGAAAATAAAATATATTATTTTATTTGCAAAAATATTGCTGAAACATTGTAAAACTGAGTAAAAATTATTTCATTGCATTCGATATGGCGCAAGCGCTCAGTATTTGAAAAACACGAGATTGCGATGGCAGAATAGATATTTGGTAACTAATTTACATTGCATTTATACATAATTGTGGTTATTATTTATAATAAAAATTGATTGAATTGTTTTGTCATTCGTAAAAATCTACAATCAAACTTTATTGTTGTAAGTTACGATTTTAATAATTATTAAATAGTCGTTTCCCATAATTTCGTTATCGAATTTATTTCGTTGTATAGGAAATTCTGTATAAGTAAAAAAAGCAATCTATACAGATATTTAATGATTTTAAAAATTCTAGTCTATTAAGTTGTTTATGGTTCAGTCAGTCAGTATGTCAGTCAATCAAGACAAGTCTTGATATGAAATTTATTTGCCACATTTATATGTTCTTGAGTATTGCTGTTAGTCGGTGATTGAGCTAACGATTGAGTGATTGAATGAGTCAATAAATTAAGAGTTTTTTTATTTTATGCCCTCTGGAGAATGTAATTCTCATGATTAATTTTGTAAATTGTATTGTGTAATGTAGGAGGAATTGTGTGGTCGATCATTAGGTAGACGGAGCTATTAAAATTGATACGCTAATTCTGCTTAAAAGAAACATCGATGTAAATACATAATATGTTTACAATATCCTTCCAGTAAAGCAGATTTAATATACAAATGTATAAATTGTTTATAAAACAAAACACAAGTTCAACCTTGACAAACACAGTAGGACAAATTCATTCAAATAAAAAACCAATAATTGATATATAGAGATTTAAAAACATCTTCCATTTATAATTCAAATAATAATAATATCGTAAAACCACAATTAGAAAATGGCGACCTTGCGGTTATTAAATGCACGGTCCTGTAAGCCTCTTAAGTCGCACACAAGGGGATACATTCGTATGAAAATCGTACGTAAATATAACAAATTTTACGTTCCTATATAAATGTTAAGTAATTTCCTCTCATTCATAAAAACGGCAATCGTTTATAAACTTTAGTTATTGACCTATTTTCTCCTATAGTTGCAAACAAAATTGAAAGTAATTGATAAGATGGATTTGTGAGTTTACTTTTACGTAATAACATGAATAGTCACTGAACGACTTTTGAGTCATTTGAGTGACTTTTCTTTATTGTTCATTACGTTCAGTAAAGTAATTTCTATTAATAGACAGCTCTGAAGTAAATTAAAAAAGAAAGAAATTGTACCTACATAATAACAAATGGCTTCTTTTTGTTTGAAAGTATCTTAAAAAAAGGAGGAGTACCTATTTTCGACAATTTTGGACTATCTGTAATTTGTCTAAGAATCATACAAATTATTACAAAAAAAATCTTTCAAAATACGTACACACTTAATCAAATATTTACATACGTACTTTGACACAAATATTAAAAGAAATCACTCTGTTCTCCAGCGTTGCATGCATTATTCTGGTCATATGATCTTGCAAATATACTATCATAATTAGTCCGCTGTATATTCCCTCCTTTATGTAGAAGAGTAAGATTTCATTTTATCTCTATTATGACGACAGAAGCGGCTATGGGGAAGAAAGCACAAATCACTGACACAAGAGAAGAAAATCACGGAATGAAACTCTTACCAAGTCACATGTACAACGCAATAATTGTAAATCTTCTTAATAGGAAATATCTCACTACAATGATAATGGGCTGTTAGAATTATAATAATAATATTCCACAAGAAGTCTATAACGTGTTTTCTTTATATTGAATGTATTAGAGAGCTATAATTATCTGAACAATTAAATTCCGGTTTATTTCATCAAAGTGGGACTAAATACTGGCCACTCTACTAAGTTACTAAACCAGTGTAAAGTGGGCTTAAATGCTTTATCCTGCCATCGATAAAAACTGACCAGTATCGTTGAATTCCAGATTTTATTACATACTGATACTTAAACTACATATTATTAGTCACATATACATCCGGAACACACACATTTACATTTTCATTTAAATAAAAATCTCAAATACATATATTTACAATAAAACTATATTTATTAATGTGTTACCTTAGCGAATCACTTCACTAAACATAACCTAAAAATATATTTTAATCAATAAGTGATATGACTCAAGTATTTATACATAGGAATCTGGAAGCAAATATATGAAACGAAATCTCTATACATACACTTAATTAAATGATTTCCTTTGAAATGATCAACATTACTTCGATACACAGATAGGCCTTTTTACAATATTTCGTTGAAAGTTTACAATTTCCATTTGGCATCAGTCGGAACATATTTATATAAGTCGTTAACTGTAAATGTAGCATTTGGCATGCTTTAGGAATATAAAGTTACGATAAGCTATTAATGGGATGGTTTGACCTTTCCATAGACAAGTGGAATGACGTCGAGCTTCTAGGATGTTACTGTCACACTGTTATCTCTACTGTGGCAAAGACGCCTGAGAATCGAACCCGGTATCGGATTACAAAATCTGTTTTAAAGGTTTTAGCAGTAAGCTTATTATTAGCATTTATAATGTAGATCTTAAAAATTAAGTGTTTTTTTTACTATATGCTAATTATACGATATGTTTTCTGGAATACGATAATTTCAATCCGTATTAAAATATAGAATGCATTATAAACCTAAGTCATGCCAAAAACAAGTTTACATTACATATTAAAAAAAAACTTTTAGCCCTTTTAAGTGCGGTTTACAAAGAAATGGATTGTTTCGTAAAAAAATACGACTTGATAATTACTAATAACTTTTATCCAATGATATGTACAGACGTTGCATTGTCTCATACATTCAGATTTCAGAAATCATTTCCTGTTTAAGATATTGTAAATTGTATTTAAATAAGAATAAATAAAAATGATTAATGAAATCTGAAAACAATCGAGAATGCAAGCATTAAAGATGGCCGAAATAAAAAGTACTAAACCGTTCGGAAACACACTAAATCTATGTAAACCGTCCTTTGAAGAAATAGTATAGGTATATCGATTTAAAATTGTACAAATATTTACAATCTACAAATAAAGGACTAGAAACACTAAACCATGTTGATTCCATATTTTTCAGGCGCAAAATAACTATTACCTGAGTTAGGAAAGTTTGTTATCTGTGACGCTTGAAGCATGCTCAAATGGGGTGAGTTCTGCGACTGGTTTTCTGGTGATTCAGCACCTGAAGACAGGATGTTGTGGTGGGATGGCCACGCTGAAGGCGGTGATGGGTTGCCGAACGATACTTGGTTGTAAAGTTGGTTGCCGTTCGCGGTCAGGTTGTGGCCGTGATGGCTGCCATGCGCCTGATTCACTGAAGATCCGTTGAAGTATTCCATCTGAAAGAAGATATTGTTTAGCAACTTATGTTACGGTTCATATCGATATGGGAAAAAAATCTGATCTAATTTAAAATATTAAAGGAACGTGGTTTCATTATCAATCTTAAACTGTTGTTTGTTTTTTTTTTCACACTACTCTAATGCTGTTGGCCGCAGCTGACGTTTACAGCTTCAACGGACGATAGGGGGCGAGTGCAGATGGCACTCCAAACCGCGCAAGGACTTATGGAGCGGCTGAAGACCAACTACCATCTGTCGGATACTTTAGTCTTAGGGAACCGCTAGAGGCTCGAACCTCGGCTCAGGCCGTCGTAATTTCGATCCCCATTTGAATTGGACGGGGGATATATCGGAAGGGGCTAACAGATATACTGAATTTTTTTGTAAATATATCGAAAATACATAGATTATTCAAACAATCATACTCATTAATAGAAATATTTGTACCCATGCGAGGAATCGAAGTCGCGACCATCGGAGATTAGGCGGCGGCCTAAATCGCTAGGTCACTGGGACCGTCAAAATAATAAAAAATAAATAATAAGACATACCTGACTTGGATAATAGGGCGAATTGTAAGCACCCTGCCCATATCCCTGATGATGATGAGTCGTGGAGTAGCTTCTGATGTAATCTGAGCTGCCAGGCCAGTGGAAGCTGTTATAGTTATCAGGATGATAAACGTTCCCCGGGCCGTTCAAGCTCTGAGGGGTGATAGGGGGTGAAGGGGTTGTCATGATCGAGGAGTTCGACCCTAGAGGAGTCAAGTTCCCAGTCAGCCTCGAGCTATACTGATCTTTGACCAAACTGCTCCCGAATGACTTCTCCGAATAGTCCAATTTGCTCGAATAGTCCAATCTTTTTGGACTATTGTACAACTCCTGTTTCGGGGTTACACCGTAGCCGTGCACGTTTGATATGGAATCCGATGGTGATGATTCTTTCCCACTGATTCTTAACGTGTCATTGGAGTTGTAGTGATGACTTAGTGAGCTTAGACTGTTCTTATTGAGTGGTGATGTTTCATAATTAGATGGAGCTGATTCTTTCTTACATATAACATTTATAGGAGGACTGACTGATGTTGTAGGGGTGATGGGAAGGTTCGGTGATGAAGTGGTGATGCTAGAAGTGTTCTGCGTATTTGCTATGCTATTCGTCGAACTGGTTAATGATTTCGACGTGGTAATCTTAGCTGATGAGGAATTGGAACTGTTGCTGCTCTTTATATTGGAACTGGATGATATGGATGAGGTTTTGGAGGCGGAGGATTTGCTTGATATCTGCGTGTTGGTCTGCTGCTGGAGCTGTTGCCTGCATTTCGCTCTTCGGTTCTTGAACCACACCTGCGGGAAAGGAAATGCTCTTAGATGGTTACATACACATAAGTGGCTGACATTTATGGCTGTATTTATTTTTTCATCAAATACTCGATTTTTAAACCTAAAAGCGGCATGTAGTTTGACCTTAACTTTTATAGAATAATATTAGATTATACTTTATACCTATATCTAAAAAAGATATTCTAAAAATGTGAATATTATTTGTAGGTACGTACTAAAATTTCTCGTGATTCTGGGTGAGGGGTTAGTCTTAAATCTCACCGCGTATCACCAAGGGGGTAAGGGGGGTTAAAAAATGTTAAAGAACATCAACATTTTTTAATAGACGGCCCCTTTTGAGAAATTATTTATAGACATTCATCATCATCATCATCATCATCCCAGCCCGGAAGACGTCCACTGCTGGACATAGGCCGCCCCCAAAGATCTCCACGACGATCGGTCCTGCGCTGCTCGCATCCAATGCCTTCCCGCGATCTTGACGAGATCGTCGGTCCACCTTGCTGGAGGCCTTCCCACGCTGCGTCTTCCGGTCCGTGGTCGCCACTCGAGGACTTTACTGCCCCAACGGCCATCTGTCCTACGAGCTATGTGCCCTGCCTATTGCCACTTCAAAGTCGCAATTCTTCGGGCTATGTCGGTCACTCTGGTTCTTCTGCGGATCTCCTCATTTCTGATTCAATCATTTATAGACATTGCTGGTTGCAAAAAGATTGCCATTTCCTATGTGGCACATATTCAACATTTTTAATTGCAGCTCCTTTTAGTCGTAGCGTGATGTTGTAAAGTAAGTGCCTTTCGCAAACACTAAGACAGTTTACAAAATCCGATCAGTAGTAGGTACCGGAGATTAACCGAAATATTCAAACTCACAAACTTTACCTCTGTGATATGAGTTAAAAGGACTGTGCTATTCTTATAATAATGATAATAAAATCTAAGTACCAAACTAAAAATAACAAATTAATGAATTCGATTTTAATTTTTCGTGAATAAAGTCGATGCTTAAAAGAAATTATTGTGTTAATGCAATTTGTTAATAAGTTTGTAAATAGAACGATATATCAAGTGTTCTCACTTACACAAATTACACGTAATGACTTGTAGTCGGTGACCCCGTGCGTAAATAGTGCGTGTTGTGTGCCAGTCAATTATATCGTTCGCGCCTTATATTTGTAGTGCGGCTTATAAGTGATTTATAGCTTGAGCCGGAGAAATCGAGGAGGCTTGTGGTTGGGGCTATTATCAACTGATTTCAAAAAAGGAATTACGAATTCTATTTTTAAACATATCGAAATTATATATTACACGTTTACTTAGTTTATTTTTTTTTTATATTTTTTCCTCCTATTTTGTTGATTTACTAGACTATTTTTGAAGGAGTGAATCAAATCTTATACTAAAAATACCGCACCCATAAACAAGCAGTGTCTATTCCAACCTTGACATTGGAAAAATCATGGAAACTCCAATGCTTTAGTTAAAAAAAGTTTGAAATCTGTTTCTTGATTCTTTGACTTTCCAGACTCAAATTCACGACCTTTGGATTTTAAGTCTGGGTAACTATTTATTGAAAACTATCTTCAATCCAGAAATTTAGTCGTACATAGACAGACCAAGTTTATCATTAATGGAAAAGCCGATATAATTTTATGAACATGACGCAGACTGACGAATTGATTGAGGGAACAGTTGACACATTGAAGGGCGCATTCCTAATAAAAGGCATATTTTTTTAAAAGAATTTCAAATAAAATGAAATGAAAAGAACATTACACATACTATCATGCATTTGACACGCACACATGACGTTCGAACTTAAAATTTAAATTAATAATGGTATAATGTTGACCACGAGGCGATGATTAGTTATTAATATACAGACATACTAACAAAATTCCCAACAATTTTTGTATTCGTAATCGAAGTATTACATAATTCATATCGTCCATTTAATGATAGATATACAAAATACCAGGTATCATTAAAGAATATTTCTACTTACATTTCCTTCAATATTTATTTTTCTTTCTATAATATACTAATCAGTGGATGGAAAATACATTTACTGTTTGTATTCACACAAAATTCGTAAAAATGTAATTTTGAACATTAATTTAAAAGAGCAACACGCGTGTTCCTTGCCCGTTCTTCTTGTGACGGGTCTGCGTTCGGAATGAGTGGTAGAATAAAAAAATATGAATTCAAAAGTGCGTATATTAAGTTTATTTGAATAATGATTATTTCTATTTCTATTCTATTTACAAACATGTTACAATATCGGTTACCTAACATGTTCGTATCACGGCCATGCAATCACCGCATCTGTTACATTGCACCCGAGCCATTCATCCATTCACTCATTTGCTCTTTTCTATAAAACTTATTAACTCATTCACAATAGGGCGCAAATGGTAGGGGTATAATCCTGGGGAGTTTTGGCGAAGCACGATCGCGTATGAAGTATGTTTGCTGAATATTTACTATAGATATATGTGTATATATTTTACTTGGTTCTTTGATATTGTTATCTAGTTTTTTTTTTTCATTTAATGGCTATTGCAAATGAGCTGAAGGCCCACCTGTGGTTTTGTTAAGGCCAATTATAGGTTTTACAACGCTAAAGGTACAGAATACTTCTTAAATTTTACTTAGTATGATATTTAGTTTCAGATTTGTTTTTCCGTACATCTTCTATATGTATAAAAAGCATTCTACACGTATATCACTAACAACACTAGCAATGCTGAAATTGTTACATTTCTTATAATATTCTGAAAATAAACTTCAAAAGATGTTCAATATTAATCTATGCCACAGATTGATTACAAAAAGTTTCATAGAAACATTTTCTTGCAAATCATTAGGGTCTGTAACTTTTAAAGTATAGAGCCACAGACAAGAAATATTATTACAATGACGTTAAACAATTGAAATATTCTATTCTATTTTCAAATTCGAATAGTTGTCAGTGTACAGACTGAAACCATCAAAATATTAATTTATGTCCCAGATTGGTTACAAAATGTTTCAAAGATTTTTTTGCAAATAATGACGGTCTGGACGTAACTTTTAAAGTATAGAGCCACAGACAACAAATCTTATTACGTCGACGCTGAACAATTGAATTATTCTATTTTCAAATTCGAATTTCGAATGTAATTCGATTGCGCGCGCTAATGCTCAACCCGTGTTGATATAAATTGAACGTTTGAACGAATTAGAATCCAGTCGTGATCCAGTCATTCCAGTTCAGTCAAGCATCGGCTGTCGTCAGTGATGGATTGCTAAGCTTTTTTATTAACTTTTATTTTTAACGGCTTTTTGGGTGGTTTTTCTATTACGACGGATTATAAGTTTTTCGATGGCGTATCTCGAGTTAATTGAAACTTACTTAATAATCTTGGGATTTAGTCGGTGTGGTTTGATAAGGATAATAAATGGTATTTTTATTTTTTTAAACATTATGGTTAATGGAATTATGCGTGCTTGCCCACGTTAGGTGATAGTAAACAACACTGCTGTGAGTTCATAAAGCTTTATATACTTAAGTAAATACTTACGTCTGATTCTTTTTTAATAGTCATTAACTTGAGGAGGTTTAAAATGAAGTTATGTATGAAATTTCAAGAATATCACGTGATCACGTGACTCGTTTGAGTGCTCATATGTTACTATTCCGAAGGTAATGTAAATTGCATACAAACTTTGTCACGATTTTTTTTTACTACGACCGTAACAAACAAGCATACGGTTTCCTATCTGATGGTAAATGGTTACCATAAACTAACGAGTTCATTTTTGTAACATAAAATATAACTTATAAAGGTTTTATTTTTTTATGATTCTGTACTAACCTGTACTCTAGACTCCGGCAGGTTGATCTTCAAGGCCACCTCCTCCCTCATGAAGATGTCAGGGTACCTGGTCTTCCCGAACAGGGCTTCGAGCACGTCCAGCTGTGCCCTCGTGAATGTAGTCCGCTCTCGCCGCTGCTTTCTCGGATTCACACCTGGCGGGAAAAAATAATGATTTATTTAAAAAAAGAATACTTTATTTTAAAAAAGAATGAATGATTTCAAAAAAGATTGAATGAGTCATATGTCATTTTCTTGGTTTCAACATAACATTATTTTCAACCGTCGAATACTTTAGAGTCTCTCTCTTATCTACATATGATAGAGAGAGAGAGAGAGAGAGAGAGAGAGAGAGATTCTGTAGTATTCGACGGGACCTATTTGTAATTGTAAGCTTACGACATATTGATATCTTATTAATATTATAACACGAAGTTTGTGAGTATGTTTGTTACTCTTTCAAAAACTTTTATTGATGAAATAATATATAGCTTATACATCAGAATAGATATATAGGCTATAATTTCACGTGGGTGAAACCGCTGGCACAGTTAGTATTAATACATAAACAAAATACTTTGTATCTCTTTTTACAAAAATTGCGCGGACGCGTATGAAATTTCGCACATTTAGATATAGTTTATATAGAGAAGGTGTTGTAGTAATAAGAAAAAAGACTTGGTAAAACGGAGAAAATATATTAATAATAGACAACTAACATATTGACAACAGAAAGAATGAATTGAAGTATCAAAACAAGAATCTAAAAAGGAACTATAAATTTCAAAATACAAATTTAGATATAAAAAGACATTTCTTATTAGCCAGTTACAATAGAAGGAATGTTGAATGCTAATATTTTTTAAAATTATGCACAAAAAATATCTTATTTCAATAAAAATCGTTACATATTACAATGTATTTAAAACACACACACACATACTCTATTGTTTATTGTTAAATTGTTACAAAATACTTTTGTTTTTGAGCTACTATTTAATGGAGCAAATTAAGAATAGATTAAAATTGTTTGTTAAAGGTAAGCTATTAATTAAATATTATTTGTCTATAGTCTTGCTGAATGTTAACTTAATTATGGTCGAATTTCGACCACTCGTCGATCACTAGTATAAATAAATTTCTTTATTTACTTATAATAGGTATCTATTTTGTGAAAATTTAAGTCTACTTGAAGTCTACTTTACACTTTCTTTTTGTGGTATATATTTTCAATGTACCATATTAGAAATGGCATAATTTAGCCGTCCGTAACATAGAATATTTAGTATATAATAATATATAATATATATACATGGAATAAAGAGTCATTATGATAATTTGGGAGACATGCCTCCCAAATTATCATAATGACCAAATCATAATAATATAAATAATACATTTATGATAAATATAATATTGTAATAGATCATAAATTTCACTATGTACCTACTAGTAGTATTGAACATGAGGTTGTGGTTACGTTAGTAGTATTTAGTAGTTACGTCATAATAGTTTTGGTTTAAGAGGAACAAGCATTGCCTTATCCTCTTTTAAACCTATTCAAAACTCTTTTACAAGTTACTTCTTTTAAAGGACAATTACATCCAAGTGTTGCTAGTACAACAGTACTGAGTTACATAGGATGTAATATTGGTCTTAGTGTGTATATGTAAAATACTAGCTATGACCCGTGACTATGATTGCACAAATTTAACTCTCACAATTCATCCCCTTCCAGATTATATTTCAAGATAAAAACATCTATCAATTTTGACAACATTATTTCTTGTTCAAACGTGTTAGCTAAGGAATTTATAACTCATTATTCATATGCGTAACTCACTGTATAGTACAACTCGAAAGCGGGTCATAAGTTAACCGAAGCTTGTAATCCCTATAGAAATTAAAATTCATTAACTATACACACATTACTCAAGCCAAATTACATTTGTTCAACTTAAAAAACATTCTTTGCCATCCATTTAATGTGTGTAAGAGAGAAAATTCAATGATAAATCGCTACGAGTGTTTTAAGTTTCTAGACGTTATTCGATGAATGGTCAAAGACAGACTGCGTGTCGCTCGTTCCAGCGCGCGCTTTTGTTTGCCATAGACAACGAGAGTGAGCATAGACGGTCTAATACTTTTTATTTTTGGTGATGGAATGTTACCGTTTTGTGTCTATTGTTTTGGGTTTTATGGTATGTAGATGTATTTGGTGATGTCTATATCTCTTATGAATAGGAAGTGTAAAGATTTTTCACTTTCATTGAAAATTTAGTAGGTTTATTTGTATGTTACTTGGATTATATACTGCTGAATCGATTTCTAGATTAGTTTCATTAATATAATAATATTATCGTTAACAATTTATAATTTTACTTCTTAAAAATCCCACGAGAATGGAAGAAAATAGATTCTCCAGTAAGTCAATTAAATGCTTTAAAATCTCCCAGTTTCAGTCTCTTCAGACAAAAAAAAACATAACAATTCTGGAATAAGTAGGTAATTAAGAAATAAGTAGGTATCTGAAGTACCTACCTACTGCTGAAATTCTATCATTACATTTATTTTGATGAGTACCTATTCTAATTGTTGTTATTAAGTGTTGATTTTCAATAAAATGCTATGTATGAAGAATGAATTGTTTATTACATGTTTTCAATCATATTTATGCTCACGGATTAAAAATAAAATAATACAAAACCCATTTTGAAACTATTCCGAACCGACCCCATTGAAACTCCTATTCCAAACAAACATTTCATATGAAAACTGTCACATTACCTATCTATAGAAAAGTGAAAATAAATAGACAGACATCTGTCTCTTTTCGTATACATTGACAGACGTGTGCGAGACGGGGATAGATAGATTTCAATTGTTCCCGTCAACAATGGGGCTCGAACTAATCCGCATGACATGGCGGGAGTTTTTTTTCTTTTTTTCAGCGTTGGCTTCGATTTTATCTCTATGGTTGATTTCTGATAGGGCTACTGCGTAATGCTTGTTTATGGTCGCGCTTGTCTATGACTGCTAATGGTATATTCGTGTAGAGATCTCGTTACACCGTATCGATAATTTTGAAAGGTGGTTTAGATTGGACCGATAATGGTTAAGCCTGGTATTGGAGGCGATTTCGCTCCGGTTAGCTTATTGATGTACTATTTGTTGATTTTCAGAATATCGTCAACAGATTTTAGTTGAACTTGGAGGTGTACTATAAAGTTACAGATTATTGTATTAAATTGTATCTAATCATATGGAAGTAATATTGTGGCTTTAATTCAATGACACATCGTGTCAGGAATAAAACTTGAGTTCAGTCTTTCATGCATTTATTTTATATTATTGAAATATCGTCGATTAAATAGAAAGTTGACATTTTTCAAAATTAGAAGCTAGTATTACCTCCTCTTATATAAGTTAATTAAATTAACTACGCCATCTTAATCATTATCTAAATACTTTTGAAATGATATATAATACTTCTGTGTAAATATAAGTAAGTATAATATTAATTATAATTAATTAATTATATGTACATTTTATTTGCTCTTTTTTTTCGTTTGTTGTTTATACTGTATTTTTTACATTGCACTGAATAAAATATTTTTCTTTCTTTCTTTTTTTAAATTTAAAACTTTAAAGGAATAAATAATTTAAACAAATAAAAAAAGAAACTTTAAATGCTTGTCTTGTAAAAATGTACATTTTGAATACTGCCATTTTTATATTTAACCGACGATATGTCAAATTATAAATATATATAGTATCGGCAACACATACAATATTTTTCCCCTAAGTCTATACATTGAAATGACTACTCATATAGTTATTGTATTACTAGCTTCCACGCGCAACTTCGTCTGCATTACACTTACTTAACATTTATCATTATATTACGCCCAATTTACATAATATCTTTTTAAATTAGAGCCTAAGAGTTATTCTGATGTATATCCTATATTACTGCAAAGTTTCATTAAAATCCATTAAGTAGTTTTTGTGTGAAAGAGCAACGAACATCATGAGTATGGATGGCCATACTCACAAACTTTCATGTTTATAATATTAGTAGGTACCTATGATTATTTCTTATTATTTTTTGTATAATGATTATATATTGTATGTATTACCTGTAGTAAGTATTTAAGTACGTATATATTATTGTTATGTAAGCATATTAGTATTGACACATTTACCTAAGTTATATACCAATAGCGTCTTTTCCCATTACTGCCCTTCAACCGCTTTTTGTTTATACCCAACAGTCAACTGGTAGAGATTGCCATATGGCATTAAGCTCGCCAATTGTACGTTTATTTTAAATAGTGCAATAAATAATTAAAATTATTTTCCCTTACAACAGTTATATCTTATCAATAACCAGCTTTTACCCGCGGCTTCGCTCGTATGTTTTTTAAATTAAAAGTATCCTATGTTCATTCTAATACTTCCAAGAACATGTGTACAAGAATTCATGATGATCGGTTCAGTAGTTTTTGCGTGAAAGCGTAACAAACATCCCTACTTTCACATTTATAGTAATATTAGTAAGGATGATACAGTATTTATTATGTACACAAAAAGATTAGTTCCACTAAACGATTTAATAAACTCAAAATAAACAAGATCTTATTTGATGGAATAAAGGTTATAATATATCGTTTAGATACATTACCTAGTATTTAATAAGTGGCTTCATAATTATAGTAGCTACAATAATAGAACCCAGGACAATGAGCAGCGTCATCTAGTCTCAAACCCACTAGAACTTATGTTAAACAATCCATATAAATACCATTTCATTATAAATCCAAACATAGTATTTTGACGGCCTCGGTGGTCTAGCGGTTTAACTCACCGCTTTACTTCCGATTGTCGCGTGTTCAATTCCCCGCACGGTATATACATTTGTATTCATGAGTAGAATGATTGTTTATATCGGTCTAGGATGTAAATGTATAAAAACAAAATCTAAGTATTTATATCAGTTGTCTAGTACCCATAACATAAGATCTGCTAACTTTAGTACTAGGTGACGTTGTGTCAATTGTCCAGGGGTATTATTATTATAGAAAGTAGGTATACATAGAAAACACTTAGACTAATAGACTAATACAAACAATCATACTCATAATATAGGTTACAT